TATGTGTCGATAAGACAGATAAAAATACTTACATTTATTCAACCACCTGTATTCTGCTATCATTTCTTTATAGGCAGGGTACCGTCCTGCTTCCTGTGAAGATATGAGCACAAATATTCAAATGAAAACTCTGATAAATTTGCTGGACAGCAACATTGAAACCCCAGAATGAACCTTGGTTTCCCTCCTGACTTTCTAGTAATCTCTGATAGATGGGATGCCCTCTAACTCAGAGAGTTTCAGTTTCTTCAGACCAAGGCATCAAAAGTTTCTTAAAGCACATCGCTAAGCCTTTTATAAGCACCTGATCCTGGCTGCTTGGTGAATAATGCACAGCTCTCTGCTTTTTTTGTTCACAGTGTGAAACCCAACCTCTAACGAGCAAGGTGAGCGAGGAATATTATGTCTGCTTCCCAGCTGTCGGCCTCGAACACAGAACAGGCTGGAACAGAGAGGCAAACCTGTCTCCCAGAGAGCGAGTTAAAGAGGAGAGGCGGGCTGCAGGTCAAAGAGTTAGCACCAGAGGTGGAAAGAGTACTAAAAAATTGTAATTGAGTAAAAGTATCTTTACTTTGCATAAATTTTACTCAGACTCAAAGTAAAATTACCCATCTTAACATTTACTCAAATAAAAGCACAAAATTACTTCATTTAAAATGTAATTTGAGTAAAAGTTACTTAGTTACTTTGAGTTATTTAACGCAAAAAAGGATGAGTCATGAATCGAATTGACTACAAGGTGTTTTAATTGATTTCAGGGCGTATTTCAGTGGACATCCACACCTGCAAAAGATCAGCTGGGCTAAAGAAAAAAAAGCTGGGCATACTTCCTCATAGCACAAGGACAGTCAGAACCTGTACAATGAAGTGCAAACAGTTTTAAATCCTACTGTCCAACAGACAACACCATGGTAGGAATAAAGAAATTTAAACTACATTTTAAAGTTTTCAAAATGCACACAAAATTAAATGCCCAAAAGATACCAGAAATCAAATAAAATGCAACAGGATGCCACTGTTATTAACAAGCTCCTCATTTAATGATTTTAACTGACACTTGTTTTACTTTAATAGTGATTTTTAACTGACACTTGTTTTTACATCAATTTTTTATATGTTAGAATTGTGTAAATAAAGTGCTGTTAAAAGTCCAAAGTCTTCTTCTAGTTTTTAATGGCAATTAAGTGTCGGTTCCGTGACACAGGGGTTTAAATTTCCGTCCGCATTTAATTTTTTCCCCATCAGTATTTTTTATTTTTTTTACTCAGTAACGTGAGGGGGTTTTAAATGTAGGGAAGTAAAACTACTTAGGTAAAAATTTACTCGAGTAAA